TGGTACAAGGATTACATAAAAAATAAAAACGCCAAAGAATATATTTATGCGGAAGTTAGATATGAACATCACTTCAAACATTACTATGTACAAATTCATCTGAGTGAATTGTTCCAGCTTTTCAATCTGCGCGAGCTCGACAAATCTATCATCAGTTGCTACGTTCTGTAAGTGATTTATTTCTACCCCATCTCGTTCATATTGCCTGCACTATATATATGTGCTAACTATATTGTTGTGTCCGCTATTATACATGCAAAATGAAGATTAAGGAATGCAGAGTAAGGAACATCCATGATGTTGGGTTCATTGACCCACACATCGTTAATGGATATGTGTTGGAGCATCACCCCGCCGACATGGAGGCAGACCTGTGGTAGTTTCTTACAAAGCAGGAACTCAAAAGTGATATTCTATTTCCTTACCATTTTGGGTGAGTGTTTCTGTCTTGAGCACATTCTCTTTTGTTTACTCCATGCATGGTATGTGGCCGGCTAATCGATGAGTTATGCATGACGTACTGTGCATGTATCGTGTCCGCAGGTTCCACTGGATTCTGCTAGTAATTAAAGTTGACACCTCAGAATGTCTCGTCCACGACTCTCTGAATAAGGATCCAAAGCTTTGGGTCGACATGAGAAGAATGATGCAGAAGTAATTATTTTCATTCATTTGCGCTCTATATCGATCGGCCTATTTCGTTCATTTCCTAATATCAAGTAACTAATAACTCTCTTGTTCATTTAATTTTCTTTGCCTCGTAGGGTTTGGAGACGGTTCATAGATACAAATGTCGGTGAATTCAAAAAAGAGCTAGAATTCAAAAGGGCAAAGGCTAAGAATGGTGAGGATATTCAGCCAGCGGGGACCAATCTATGTGCATACTATGTCTGTGAGATGATCCGGAGATACACCTCTGAGCGGGTTCCGAGTGATACCAATGCTCAGAGGAATAACCTCCGGATGATGCTTAGTCCAGAAGCTCGCTTCCGACCACTTCAAGAGGAACTAGCTGGATGGTTCAGGAGGGAAGTCCTCCATCCTAAAGGAGAACACCATTACGAGGACGTAGAACTTTATATGCATTAAATTATGTATGGAAACTTGTTCAAAATTGTATATGGTCATCCGATGATATTGAATATATATTGTATATTCCTCTTGAATTCTTTTTGATTCTAATTTCAAATTTGTTTGAAATTGTACATTCATATGCATGTATGTAGTACCGTAGAATATGTGAAACTCCTTCAAAATTAAAATAAAGAAAAAAAGAAATAAAACAATACAAATTAAACAGAAAACAGGTTTAAGGAGGGGGGGGGGCTAAAACCCTAAACCTGCGGCGGCCTTTAGTCGCGGTTGGCCAGAAGAACCGCGACTAAAGGTCCTCCGCCCCGACGGCCACCTGGCGCCCACGTGGACGGGCCTTTAGTCGCGGTTCTTAAGCAACCGCGACTAAAGAGTGGGGCCTTTAGTCGCGCCCGTTCAGTCGCGGTTGCGCAACCGCGACTAATGGCAGTTGCGAACCGCGACCAAAGGCCTTTTTTCCACCAGTGTTTACTCTCGGCGACCTCGCCGCCGGAGGAACTCAAAACCCAAACGGGGAGTGCTTCTGCCAACGCACACTACTAGTTATTTGCCCATTGACACGCGTCAGCAGTGAGTAGAGAGCCTTTATACGCAGCTAGAGTTTGGTTCTGCATAGCAATCGGACCACAAAAATAAAATAAAGTTGTGGAAACGATATGGCCCATGCTTTTCTTTAATACAGTACAACGCAGATGCCCAGAAACACAAACATATTTGCTTGAAAAAACACACATATAGAATCTTATACACATGCACACACTACTTCTATGAACGCCTCCGAAATACCGAGCAGGTATAATATCTTAAAATTGATGAAGTTATCACAGACGCCTTCTAGTCGAACGAAACGTCTCCTCCCCTGGAAAAACATCACCGAAAAGTCTGAAATTTTTTCAGAAAAATGTGATACTAGTATCAAGTCTAAAACTTAAATCGTGACGACGGGATGGTTCCACCAAAAAAGAAAAACTTAACCCCAGTTCACATGGTGAGGCCTTTCGTCGGACCACAGATCCACGGAAAGAGTAAAGAGCTATCAAACATCAGTCAGTAGTCAGTACAGTACACGGTGATGCTTTACCTTGATGGACGCCACTGCATCTAATACTAAAAATCTGTCCCTGTGCATTCAGATTCAGTACCTATGCTACTCACTCAACGAATATATTCAGAACTTCCAACAATAGGATTAGTATAACGTAGCCAATGTCGTTAGAGCAACTCCAATGAGGCGATCCATTTCGTTCGTCGGTATCCGTTTGGGTCGGTGCGGACAAAAAAATCGGCCCAACGTGCCGACCCAAACGGACGCGCGTCTGCTTTTTGTCCACAGGCGACCCATTCCCGGCCCATTTTTGAGCCGGGTTTGCGTCGGCGCGGACAAGCGACGGACGCGAGCACGCTCGCCCTCTCCTCCCTACGGGGCCGCTGGTCTGTGTCACATCGCCCTCCCCCATCCAACAGCAACCCTCGCCCTCCTCCTCCGTCCCCGACGCCGCCGCCCATTTTTGCCGGCAACTCTGCCAGCTGCCAGGGCCTCCACATCGGCCCAGCTATGCCGCCCACTCCCACGCCGCCCACGTCGCCCGCCACCGCCGTCTTGCCGCCGGGAGCCGACTGCTTCCCACCCTCCCTCCCACGCGCCCCCACCACACAGCCGCCCCCGACCAAGAAGCCGTCCAGCCAGATCCTCACCGGCACGCTCCTCGAAAGTCGGCATGCTCGGCGGACGCCGGCAGGACAGCAGCTGGTCCGTGCGCACCGCGACTCCCTTCGTCGGCCGTCTCCTTCGCCGACGCCCGCAAGCTATTCGACAGTTTGCCAAGGTACAAAATGGACTCCGCCGCGAGTTCTTTTTTCACAATTTCTTTTGCGACTCCGACGATTCGTCCTCCGATGACGAGGAGGAGATATTGGCTGTCGTGTTGGTCCATCACCACCTCAACAGCCAGCGGCCATTGTTCCGTGGCTCCATTCCGGGCCACCTTCTGGCGTTGAATCGCAACCGAGAGAGCGGGCATTTCCTTCTTTGGAAGGACTACTTTGATACAACAAACCCGTTGTTCAAACATCAGAAATTCCGCCACCGTTTCCGTATGAGTAGGCATGTCTTCAACCGTATTAGAGAGGGGGTGGTCGGCTATGATGACTATTTCGAGTGCAAAGAGGATGTCGTTGGTAAGATTGGTTTTTCCTCTTATCAGAAATGCATTGCCGCCATCCGAATGCTTGCATACGGAGTCCCCGGTGATCTCATTGACGAGTATGTCCGTATGAGCGAGTCTACTTGCCTAGAGTCTCTGTATAAGTTCTGCAAGGCTATTATTCCTGTGTTTGGCCCTGTGTACTTGAGAGAGCCGTCTGCTGAAGATACAACTCGTTTGTGGGCGATGAATGGCAGCAGGGGCTTCCCATGGATGCTTGGTAGTATAGACTGCATGCATTGGGAGTGAAAGAACTGTCCTTCTGCTTGGCAAGGGCAGTATAAGGGCCATGTCAGGGCTTGCACTGTCATACTTGAGGCCGTGGCGTCTCAAGATCTCTGGATCTGGCACTCTTTTTTTGGCATGGCCCAATCCCACAATGATATCAACGTGCTTCAGCGCTCGCCGGTGTTTGCTAGGCTTGCCGAAGGCAACAGCCCACCGGTGAACTTTACTGTCAACGGCCACACCTACGACAAAGGATACTATCTGGGTGACGGTATTTATCCTCAGTGGACCACTATTGTCAAGACAATACCCAACCCTGTGGGACAGAAGAGGAAAAGGTTTGCCCAAGAGCAAGAGAGTGCTAGGAAGGATGTCGAGCGTGCCTTTGGTGTTTTGCAATCTCGATGGGGCATCGTTCGGTATCCTGCTAATACCTGAAGCACGCAGAAACTGTGAGAGGTGATGACTACTTGTGTGATCATGCATAATATGATCATAGAAGACGAGCGCCCGGAACGTCTGTATAATCAAGTGTTTCAGTTTCAGGGTGAGAATGTTGTGCCTGAGCATGGAGTGGCGGCAAAGTTTGAACAGTTCACCCAATTTCATGAAGACATGCGTGATTGGGAAACTCACGTGCAACTGCAAAATGATTTGGTTGAGCATATGTGGGCTCATGTTGGCAACCAATAGATGTATCTTCTGTTATTCGATTTGCAAAACTATGTGAGAGCTATGTGAGACATTTTTATTTTCATTTGGCTTGTAATAAACTATGCTATTTTATTCGGTCCAAAACGAATTTTATTTTAAACTATGCAATCATGCAAAAAAAAATAGGGGTGTGGCGGCCACGCCGGCACATATGCGTCGGCGCGTTGGGCGCCCTGCCGACCCATATCTAAAACAGGGAGTACACCGGGCGGACGGCCAACCCAACCGGACAAAAAACGGACGAAATCGCCGTCCGTTTGGGTCGCCCCATTGAAGTTGCTCTTGTGGTATTGCATGACTTGTCTCTGTCTGTTGTCACCTCTGTTTCAGATCTTGCTCGGGGTCGATTTTTTGCCTACTAAAAGCAGTAGTGTCACATACATAGCATAAAGCCTACCCAAAGGCATGCTACGGATATTACCATGCATATATTTTCGGCTAATCGCCAGTTGTTAATACACTTTACATGGCGGGGAGCAGTGCTTTAACAGTTCAGTTTCTTCTCCCAGGATTCGTTGTGGACGATATGATACATGTTCGCAAGGGCTTTTGCTCTTTAGTTTTTGCTTTCTCTTTTGCATGAACCTGTCGCGAAGCAAGGTATTGCTCCCAGACCCTCCCGGCTACACACCTTCTGCCATGCGCGCGCATATATATGGCCATTGTGGACCGGTCCTAAACAACAACCAGATCTGCCACACAGCAACCGTCCATCGATCAACGATCAACGGAGCAGCAGAGCAGAGGAAGTGACCAGCGACGATGCCGGGAGCCGTGAAGGTGTTCGGGTCGCCGACGTCGTCGGAGGTCGCCCGCGTCCTGGCGTGCCTCTTCGAGAAGGATGTCGAGTTCCAGCTCATCCGTGTCGACTCCTTCCGCGGCCCCAACCGCATGCCCCAGTACCTCAAGCTCCAGCCGCACGGCGAGGCGCTCACCTTCGAGGACGGCAACGTCACCCTCGTCGGTAAGCAACGCAACAAACAATGTCCGTAGATTTTCATCTGCATGATGCACGCTAGTATACGTTGATGAAATGTGTGGGTGACGCGCGTGGGTGTAGAGTCGAGGAAGATCCTGAGGCACATCGCTGACAAGTACAAGAGGCAGGGGAACCTGGACCTGATCGGGACGGGGGCGCTGGAGCGCTCCTCCATCGAGCAGTGGCTGCAGACGGAGGCGCAGAGCTTCGACGTGCCCAGCGCCGACATGATCTACAGCCTCGCCTACCTGCCGCGCACCATGCCGCTCGACGGCAGAAAGGACGGCGGCGCCGGCGCCGGCCGCGAAGCCATGCAGCAGAAGCAGCAGCAGCAGCGGGACATGATGATGAGCCCGTCCCACATGCAGAAGGTGGAGGAGATGAAGCAGCTGTTCGAGAAGAGCAGCAGGGATCTGAGCAAGGTGCTGGACATCTACGACCAGCGGCTTGAGGAGGCCGAGTACCTCGCCGGCGACAAGTTCACCCTCGCCGACCTCTCCCACATGCCCAACGCCGACCGCCTCGCCTCCGACGAGCGCTCCGCCCGCCTCATCCAGTCCCGCAGGAACGTCAGCCGCTGGTGGGCCGACGTCTCGAGCCGCGAGTCCTGGGTGTACGTCAAGAGCCTGCAGCGCCCGCCGTCCGCCGAGGCGCCATTCTGATCACCATGCACTGTCGCCGTCTCCTCGCGGCGAGAAGGTGCTGCCCACTGCTCCATATCACTATATCCGTGGCATTTCCGATCCTGCGCTTCACAGTTTCGATTGATTTGTTTAACCTGTAATGCGTTTCCGTTGTTCTGAATAATCTCGTATACGATTGTGTTCTTCATCGGCATGGGTGTTTCGCCCCTGCTTTCCTGATGTTGCGGTCGAAAGATCATTTTAATCGTGTAATAATAAGCGTAATAAAATGCGTTTCCCCTGTATTTTGGTTCGGATACTGCACTAGCAAGCACGAACACGAATTTTCCGATCTGAACTAGTCTGAACCCTATCGCCAGCTCTGGTGCAATTTCACTGGAGAATGTTAATATTTTGGTCTTCCATTGTAGCCCGACTCTAAAAGAGTCAACCTAAAATCTAAAAAGTGCACGCGCACTTTTTTGCGTAATCGAGCGGCCGGCTGGGAACCACACGATTTCAATCACGCGCGTGCGTCCTCACTTCAGGTGTCATCTGGTCGGCAGCCCACCCACCCGTCACCCCACCCACCGAGCCGGCCGAGCCCACCATCCCCCCTGCTGTCTCTCGCAGTTCCCCCAATTCTTCTGGATCGAGGCGTCGTCGCCGTCGCCGTTGCCGTCGCCGTCAGCTCCTCCGAGCGCCTCCTCCATGCGCGGGCCTCACCGGATCTGCATGACCACATCCACATGCTGGCCTCCTCCTCTGGCTCGACCCCGAGATCCCCCACCCGGCTCCACCCCGGCGATGGTGTGGTCCAGGCCATCGTGCAGCCATGGATCTAGGCCATGGCCCTCCCTGCTCGTCCTTCCACCCCCTCTACCACGGCAGAGACGAGGCCCAATCACTCGCCACCCCCACGAGCTTCGGGCATGAGGTCCTAGACCCGCCTCATCTAGATCGGGCCGCCGTGTCGCGCCATCACCACGTGAACCCGGCTGCCTCCTCCATGATTGACGACGTCCACACGGACGGCCGTGCACCACCACCACCTCCCCCTATACTCGGCTATTGGAGGACGTGTAGGTGCTCCTAGCGGCCTCTCTCCTCTCTCTCTCTCAATATTTGCCATGTTTGCGCGGGGGATTCGCTGCTCGTCGCCAGCGCAGGTAAGGTCCTACCCATGGATTTTCTTCTGTCCTCGGTTCTATCCATATCTCCTATCAATTACCCCGCATAGGTCCTGCCTAGGGGCGGCTGGTATTGCTCGTATTCATCGGACGAGGGAGGCTAGCGCGGAGAGGGTGCGACGGCGGGGGACGAGTTTGTCGGGCAGCCCATAGCGGTGGTTAACCGCATCCGCTTCACACAGTTACGACCATGGTGGCGTTGGCGTCATGAGCATAGCTCTCGTGCTGCTTTCGAACTAGAGAGGCGTGGGGATTATGTGAGATTTGAGTTTCAACCAGAGCGAGTAGATAATGGGATAGTGTAGGTTTTTGTACATCTCTTTTTGCATCCGGGTTCACCCATGTTTTTTATTGTTTTTTCTAGTAAGTTGCAAACGGAGGAAGAAATAGTTGGCTAGCTAGTTGTAAAATTTGCACAGGGATGGAAACATAGTTGGATTACAGGACGAAGGACGGTCAGGAGTGTGTTTTTCAATTTCATTTTCCAGTTGCACACGATCATATGTCAATTGGCTGCATCTGCATGATAGTTGCATGCTCTAGATCATTTAGTTGGCAAGACATTTTTTCATTTTACAGTTGCACAACCTCTCATGCCAGTTGGCTGCATCTACAGGGTAGTTGCATGCTCTAGAAATTATAATTGGGAGGGCATATTTTAGATGATATCTAAGTGGTACACTGCATAGCTGGTTAGCTAGTTGTAAACATTGCACAGGGAGGCAAACGTAGTTGGATTACAGCACAAAGGACGGTCGGTAGTCTGTTTTTAAATTTCATTTTTTAGTTGCACACGCTCATACGTCCGTTGACTGCATTTCCAGGATAGTTCCACGCTCTAGATCATTTAGTTGGCATGCCTTTTTTTGCCATGATATCTAAATGGTACACTGCCCTCCATCACGCAGCTACAACTAGGTTTTAGTTGGATTTTCACGGCTAGCTGTTCTAATTTTGTCACTATTGGTATGGTTCAGGATCCTATTTTTGATCTATCTATTATTCCCTAAACTACAATTGTCTCGTTAAACATGATCTCTCTGTAGAGCTTCATTACATCTCTGTGTAAAACACATGATTTTTTACACAGTTGCATGAGAACCAGCTAGGTGTTGGCATCCTGAACTTTTATAATTGCATAAGAATCAATTAGGAGTTGGTATCCTCAACTTTTCAAATAGTTGCACAACAGTATCATACGAGTTGGCATCCTCGACTTCCATAGTTGCACCCGAGCCATTTGGGAGTTGGCAGTCTCAACTTTTTAAATAGTCCCACAGCAATATCACATGAGTTGGCATCCACATCTATTTTAGCTGCGCAAGAACCAATCAGGAGTTGGCATCCCCAACTTGTTTTAATAGTTGCACAACAATGCCACATGAGTTGGTATCTTCAACTTCTTTAGTTGCACAAGAACAATTTAATAGTTGGCATCCTCATGTGCTCACATGCATCTGATTTTTCTAGGTTTGCAGATGCACTCGAATGTAGTTGCACTACTTATTTGAAAGAATATAATCTTTTTAAAATCACTCTTTTTTCATTTCGTGTGTTTAGACAGGCTAAATTCAAGCTAGAGCTAGTTCATTTTTTCTTAGGCTTCTTTTTTTGCCTCATGTGCAGGTTTTACAGGTTATGGGGGTGGATGAGCTGCTATAGATTTGTGCACACAATTCTAAGCTACAAAATCACATACTACTGTGTTGAAAGATCAAAGAAAAAAAAGATGCAAACCAGATTCTTGTCTAGTTGGTAGTTATGTTTTCGTAGTACCTACAATATACTTTTCTTCTCTTTTCTTTTTTTGCTACATAGACATTGGTTCTTTCTACATTATGTGTGAAATAAGACTCTATGTGCTCTCTCCTATATATTTGCACATTTTCTGCATTTTGTTGCAGACATTGCTGTAAAAGTTGGTTTGTCCCATGATGTAGTAGCACGAAAATCACTTAAAATTGCACAGGTACCAGATCTCCCTTTTATTATTTCTGTTTATCGTCTCTTCAACTATGGAGAAGCTATTTTTTCAAAGAGAAATTTGGTGAGGGGGAAAGGGAAAGTCAAAGAGGGAGGATCTGAACAGGAGGAGGAAATGATCACCTCTTTTTCACCCTTGTTGGTGCTGCCTGATACTTTCTGGTCTGGATTCATGTTTTAGTTGCACACGTTTACAGCAAAAGTTGGCTTTGGATTCATGTTTAGTTGCACAAATATATGTTTATTTTTGCACAGACAACACACATCCATGTCTGTGTGTGTTGGTTGCACACAGTTACAACAAAAGCTGGCTTTTGGATCCATGATTAGTTTGCACATCTCTTTTTCTAGTCTTGGCTGTTTGGTTGCACACATAGCAGGAAAAGTTGGTTTTGGATCCATATTTTACTTGGCAGAAATATAGGCTTCTATTTGCACACATGGCATAAAAAGGTTTCTTTTGGAACCCACTCTTTTTTAGTTGTGCAAATATGTGCTTCTTTCTGCATAAACAGTACATGCAGTCCATATTTTCTAGTATTTGGCTGTTTGGTTGCACACATTGCGCAAAAGGTTGACATTGTTGGAACTGTGATTAGTTGCACAAACAGGAACCCAGTCCATGTTTCTAGTTTGGGCTATCTGCAAAACTATTCCATTGTGTCTATTTGCACACATCCAGGCAAAAGTTGGTTTTACTACTGGGTCTAGTTACATAGAGTGGTGTTTAATTAAACAGAGATCAAATTTTTTCTTTTTTGGTTACTTCCTTGTGTCTATTTGCACACATCTAGGCAAAAGTTGGTTTTACTACAGGGTATAGTTGCACATAGTGGTGTTTAATTACACGGAGATCATATTTTCTCCTTTTTTTGGCTTCCTATTTTGCTACTCCCTCCAACTATGGAGAAGACCGGTGGCAGATTTATAGGCAAGGTGAAGGGAAAGTGAAGAAGGTGAAGGGGAAGTGGAGAAGAAAGATACCCGTGAAGGAGGAAATGTGGACGAGGGGGCGTGGGAGGCTTTTTCTAGAGAGTAGTGGGGTCACTGATAGCGACTGGGCTTTGTTTTCTGTTTGGTGAACTCATCTGGCTGGCAGCCGCTCACGAGCGCTACTGAGCCAATGAATTTTGTGGGACGGAAGGAGGCCTTCCTTTCTCGGAGCGAGGGGATAGGAATTTTCTTTTTCTGGCCGGCCGCTCGCTACCGCTAGCGAGCCAACGGCCGCCAGCCAGACGCTTCCAAGAGTCAATTACATCACTGGTGGCGTGAAAAGTCAGTTTAGTGCTAAAACTTATGGCACAGATTGAACTGATGCCACAATTTGGCTTTGACGTGCATATCTGATGCAAAATATGAATCAGAGAGCTGATTAGGCACGCCAACATGGCATGTGGCTCGCTGTCAGCGACCGGATGGCAAAGTGGATGTGTGGTCTGCTATTTTGCAAAAAAAATCTTGAATTTTTTTTGTAACGAAAAATACTATGCCACGGCCGCAAGGATCCACTTGTCAGCTTCCCACAAATAAATGAAAATTTTGTTCTGTTCTTTTAGAAATTTATAGAATATATGTAAATTATAATAATGTGATAATATATATATATATATGTGTGTGTGTGTGTGTGTGTGTGTGTGTGTGTGTGTGTGTGTGTGTGTGTGTGTGTGTGTAAAATAAATTACATTATAAAATAACCATGCATGGAGTTAGCGTTTACCCATATAACAAATCATGAATTACAAAGTTGTTCATGTAATAATTTGCATATTGAGTAAGAACTTATATTCAATAAAGTCTTATATAATTTTGAAATTGTTCACAGTTTTAAGAAAATATCAATGTAATTTACAAATATATTCATGCTTT